TCAGTTCTTGCACATCTACTTTCAAAAGTATGCCAAGACAGTAAAAGGCAACTTCTGCATCATTAATCCCAGAGAAAAGAGACAGGACATTGATACCACCATGGAACATATCTCTATACAGATCCTTGTGTATGGTTTTAAGGAAACCTAGAAGCATTTCCACCTCATCAGGTTCAAGTGGAGCAACTTTATTCCTTCCAACCCATACTAGATTCCATTTTCAGCACTCATCAAGAACATACTTCTGGACACTCGAATGTGGCTCATTGTCATAAGCTTCAAGAGCCTTACAGATCCTTTCTGTTAATTTGGCACTTCCTGTACATGTTTATAAACAGTTCAACTTTGTTCTTGGATCCCATGAAGGCCATCATTTCTTTGTCAATGGAAAGGCATCAGCACATGGAGGAAGCAGAATAAAGAGAAAATCTGTTCTCAATTGGCAGATTATGAATATAGCCTATTTTCAGTGTAACATCATGAAAATGCTTCGAATCTACAAATTCTGGCTTTACATCTAATAAGTACTGTGATATCCTAGTCCAAACATTAGCTGGAAAGATGAATGTGCTCATAGCATCTTCTGGAAGTGTTCTTTGAGTTATCTGATCTGGTTTGGTAAAACCAGTTAATGAATTTGAAAGATGAATGTGCTCATAGCATCTTCTGGAAGTGTTCTTTGAGTTATCTGATCTGGTTTGGTAAAACCAGTTATTGAATTTGAAAGATGAATGTGCTCATAGCATCTTCTGGAAGTGTTCTTTGATTTATCTGATCTGGTTTGGTAAAACGAGTTATTGAATTTGAAAGATGAATGTGCTCATAGCATCTTCTGGAAGTGTTCTTTGAGTTATCTGATCTGGTTTGGTAAAATGAGTTATTGAATTTGGAAAGATGAAGGAGACCCAATAGCATCTTCTGGAAGTGTTCTTTGAGTTATCTGATCTAATTTGGTTTGATATAAAACATAGAACCAATCATTTGAATTAAAAGATGAATTGCATGATCGTCTTCATTAAGAAGCTTCTTTTCAAGCTTCCTCTGCTTCTTCCTTTTCCACAAATCATAGCCCAAGTTTCGTCTTTGCTTGTAATTGGGATCATTGCATAATGGCTTCCCATCTTTTACCGGAAGAAATGTGTCAGCAGCCTTAGCCTCTGAGAATCTGGACCACATCTCTCCATGGCTATTGAAGCTTCAGCCTCTGAGAATCCCATTTTTGTCAAGAATAACAGTTTATTCTCCTCATCAGAATCAGAATTCAAAATTTCTCAGTATTAAAAGGACTATCGATATCTGTGAAATCATCTTGAAAGGTCATTTCATAATCAGATGAGTTGTTATCAGAATCAACATGTCACATGCAGGCAAGCTTTTCAGGAGCCTATACTATTGAGTTTTATTCTCAAGAGATTTTGTGACATTATATCTACATTTGTCAAAGATGATAGATTCTCTGATTTGAATAAGAAAGATTTATTGGGTTTCTACAACTGAAAAAATATTCAGTTCACCAATCTGAAAACAAATAACTTAACAATCATGCATCATATTTAGGCATTTGCAAAAATAGGTGCATTTTCATTCATTCTCATCCATGCTGAATTTTGATAGGAATTTCAAAGATTTTAGCAAAGATTTAAATCCATCACTTGATAGATTAGCTTTTCCAGTTCGAGTTCATAATGAGAAGAACTCATCTGAAGAAGGAAGAAGAAGTTCATAATGAGAGGAATTTGTTCAACCTTTTGCTCAAATCCATCACTTGATGGATTATCTTTTCCAGTTCGAGTTCATAATGAGAAGAACTCATCTGAAGAAGGAAGAAGAAGTTCATAATGAGAAGAATTTGTTCAACCTTTTGCTCAAATCTATCACTTGATGGATTAGCTTTTCCAGTTCGAGTTCATAATGAGAAGAACTCATCTGAAGAAGAATGAAGAAGTTCATAATGAGAAGAATTTGTTCAACCTTTTGCTCAAATCTATCACTTGATGGATTAGCTTTTCCAGTTCGAGTTCATAATGAGAAGAACTCATCTGAAGAAGAATGAAGAAGTTCATAATGAGAAGAATTTGTTCAACCTTTTGCTCAAATCTATCACTTGATGGATTAGCTTTTCCAGTTCAAGTTCATAATGAGAAGAACTCATCTGAAGAAGGAAGAAGAAGTTATAATGAGAAGAATTTGTTCAACCTTTTGCTCAAATCTATCACTTGATGGATTAGCTTTTCCTGTTCGAGTTCATAATGAGAAGAACTCATCTGAAGAAGGAAGAAGAAGTTCATAATGAGAGGAATTTGTTCAACCTTTTGCTCAAATCCATCACTTGATGGATTATCTTTTCCAGTTCGAGTTCATAATGAGAAGAACTCATCTGAAGAAGGAAGAAGAAGTTCATAATGAGAAGAATTTGTTCAACCTTTTGCTCAAATCTATCACTTGATGGATTAGCTTTTCCAGTTCGAGTTCATAATGAGAAGAACTCATCTGAAGAAGGAAGAAGAAGTTCATAATGAGAAGAATTTGTTTAACCTTTTGCTCAAATCTATCACTTGATGGATTAGCTTTTCCAGTTCGAGTTCATAATGAGAAGAACTCATCTGAAGAAGAAAGAAGAAGTTCATAATGAGAGGAATTTGTTCAACCTTTTGCTCAAATCCATCACTTGATGGATTAGCTTTTCCAGTTCGAGTTCATAATGAGAAGAACTCATCTGAAGAAGGAAGAAGAAGCTCATAATGAGAAGAACTCATCAGGAGAAGAAGAAGTTCATAATAAGAAGAGCTTATTCAACCTTTTGAATGACTCTATCACAAAAAGAAAGAGTTCAACATCATCCCCAGCGGAAAGTTCATAATGAGAAGAACTCATCTGAAAGAAAGAGAAGAATTTATTCAACATCTCTATATTAATCAAGTGAAGTCAAATGAAAAAAACTTATTATCTTTTCGTCTTTGCTCTATTCTTATTAAGAATAAGCAAAGAGGGGCAGCTGAAGATATTCATTTTTTTCATTTTAATGTTATTATTATTATTATAATTATTATTATTATAATTATAATAATAATAATTATTATTATTAATATATATTATTTAATATTACAAGCCCAAAATAGAAACCCATTTACAAATCCTGAATCCCAAACCCAACCCGACCGAGAAACCCTAACCCTTTTAGGGTTTTCTGAAAATTCCAGCCGCCTCAGCCAATGGTCCAGCTTCCAGCCGCCTCTGCTGCCATGCCACCCCATCGAAGCCTCCAGAAGCGCCTCATCATCACCCCTTGTCGAAGGCTCCAGAAGACCCAGATGGTCACCCATGTTGCTACTCTAGCGGGTGAGTCTCCACATAGTTCGGTGACTCACCGAAATTCGCTCTTCGGACCGGTCTGAGACGAGTGCCGGTGATGGCTATAAAGCCATCACCCAACCTGCAAAGAAGAAGCCCCACAACAGAGACAGAGAGAGATAGAAAACAAAGAGCAACATCCCACAACCAGCAAAAAAACCAAAACAGAAAGGAAAAGAAAAGAAAGGAACTTACCGAGGAAGCCACCGGATCCCTTCAAACGTCACCAAAACCTTCGGAAACCGAAGGTACTTCTTTAGATTCTCTCCGATCAGGAGCCATTTAGGAGAAAAGAGCACCGGAACCGTCCTTAGGACGGTCCGATCTATCTAATGGTGTAAAAATAAAATTTTCCGGCCACCGGATGCGGTGGCCGGCGGTGAGGGTCACGGCGGCAGACGGTTGCCGTCCGGTGACCGGCTTCCCTCCGGTGAGGGAAGCTAGAGAGAAGGGAGAGCTTTTGTTCATTCTCTCAGGTAGAGAGAGAATGAAAACTGGAAAATGAAAGAGATGGCCCGAAGGGCCGGCCGTTTTGGGCATTAAATAGCCCTTCCCAAACGACGTCGTTTTGGGGAGGGCTATTTGTGTAATTATTAATAGTTAAATCCTGTCCGCTATCCCTTTAATTTGTAAACTTTACATTTTAGTCACTAAATCGAGTTTTTAATCCTTTTAATTTGATCTTTAAATTTTAATTTTATTTATTTTAGTCCTTTATATTAAAATAATCTATTTAGGGTAAATAACATATTTAATCCCTTAATTTTAATAATTAATATTTCAATCCCGAGTTTATATTTTTAATTTATTTTAATCTAAAATCTGAATTTTATATAGTTTTATTTCCGTCACTAAATTAATAAAATAAGAAAATAGCATGTTTAATCCCTGTAATTTTGATTAATTATGAATTAGGTTTTTAATTTTACTATAATTTAGTTATTTATTTTAAATGTTTTTTTATTTCTTTTATTGCTTTTAAATACATAGTTCTAATTGTATTTATTATTTTAATTTTACTTGTCTAAATATTTTTATTATTATTATGTAGTCATAAATATATATATAATAAATAAATATTTATTTTTTTTTAAATAAATTATTTTTAACATTTATATTTCAATATCGAAGAAAAGGGCAGTCTTAATACAACTGGATGTCCTATTCTGGTATTTTAAAATTAAATATTATAAAAAAATATTATTATTTAATTTTATTCAAATTAATATTTATTAATATCAAAGAAAAGAGCTGTCTTAAGGCACCTAGAAGTCCTTTTCCGATATTTTTTAAATATTTTTTATATAATTTTGAAATAATAGGATTATAAATTAAATATATTTTGAATTTTTAATAATAGAGACAATTTATAATTAAAAAGTACCAATTTTGGGCGTTGTAGGGGTGCTAATCCTTCCCTAAACGTAACCGACCACGAATCCCTTTTTATTATTAAAAAGAAAGAATTTTTGGTTATAAACGCAGATCAGTTAAAAGATATTTTTTAGGTATTCGACCTACCTGACCCAAAAGGCCGATGGCGACTCCCAAATTATTTTCAAAACCATTTATTCACATAAATTTTCCCACCAAGTAAAAAATTCGTGCCCGGACGAAAACCGGTTACGACAGAACTCACAGGTAGTGAATTAAGGATTGTGAGTTAAATCAATGCCCTCATTTCTAAATTGTTTTCCAATTTCATAGACACGATCAAGTCCACCAACTACTAGCTCCTTAAGATATAACTCAGGTGCAATGCGCATATAGAGCCTCATATTTAATTCATTGTGATGGGTTACAAAGGGACGGGCAGCTGCACCTCCAGCAATCATGTTCATCATGGGAGTTTCAACCTAATGATAAGATGCTCACATTAACAAAACCGACACAAAAGAAAAATTATAAAGAAAACTTATAATGTGATACGTTGACAGATGACTAACCTCCAGGAAATCAAGATTGTCGAGAAAACTCCTTACATAAGAAATGATCTTAGATCGGGAATATTTGACGAACCTCCAGGTTTAACATCAAATCAAGATAACGTTGGTGATATCGAGTTTCCTAGCATGAAAAACAAAAGCCAATGTAAACCAATTGAATTCAGAGAGATTGACAAAAAGGTTAGAATGACTACCTCATAAATACATCACACAGTTTTTGACTAATATTAGTCAATAGGATGAACCAAAAAAATATTGTCAATTGGAAAAATACAATAACGTGTGCATATGAAAAATACAAGTTTCTTTTTGTAGTTTTGAATTGTTGTTGCAGTTAAGGCAAGCACAATAGACATGTTGGCATGTTAAGCAAAGGATTCCAAAACAGCTAAAAGATTTGACATGGTGCTTATGATTAAGGAAATGATACCTAACCCTTCAAAATGTATGTTTCAGGATTCCTGGTACTTCCAGGGAACCCTGTAACCCCCTAGACCCGGCCTATGCGTTTCGACTAAGTCTAGTGGATCACATTATAATTATTAAAGACATTTTTCGCAACCGTTATCCCATCAATATAAAATCACATTATATAAACATGAAATTATAAACAATTTATACTATCAAAAACCAACTCGTAAATATAGTACAAATAAATAATAATTTAATTTAAAACATGTCTTCAAATTCAAAATCACAATAAACCGAGCAGTAGTAGCAAAAGTGTTATCATTATAAAATCCGATATTTTAAAATAAGGTCCATGTCACCAAAATAAAGTAAACTTGCCAGATAAAAACATTACAATCTGATTTACTTCAAGAGATATGTTGATCCTCCAAGTGCTCGAACCAAGGTATCTACCCAACAGTATCTGAAAGGGGAAAACATTTTCAAAAGGTGAGCTAGGCTCAGTGTGTCCCAACATTTCCATAAAATCACAATAGGTACAAATCATAGTCCAGTAATCTCACAAATTCGTAAAAGAGTTTAACTTTTTGAAAATCATAGTTTAAACCCTTTTCTGGTACACCATCAGTAGTTCCCAAAATTATTTTCCATATAGCTTACTTTATGCACATAGCAAAAAGAAAGCCGACTTAAGGATAGACTCTGAAGCTTGTATCCTTAAGCCCAAGTCAATAAGTCCATATAGCTTACCCTAAGCACACAGCAAAGGAAAACCGACCTAATGAAACATCTTGGGGCCCTCAAGAGTCACATTAGGCCCAGTTAGCTTGATCAGAGCTATTCCATCGTATTTCAATTCCAAAATTCAATTGCACCGTGACATAAACTCCATAAATCCAAAAACATAGTAATCATATACTATTTCAAAACAAAAATTAGATAGCAGCCATATTCCATAACTTGTCACATTAAATTGGTGCATCCATAAAACAATAGCCAATGAATTCGGTGTACCACGTATTAAAACCAATAAAACAGTTCAATAACAAGTAGGGAACACACCTCGACAATAGATTCAAATAACAAATCTACTGATTGCTGGTTTCACCACGCTCTGCTACAATTTTCGAACGGGTGAATACTGGCACACGTGGTTTAACTGATCTAGAAGAGCTGGGTCGAGCTGTCGAACGATCCGGAGAGTCTCTTGTACCTTCAAACAATAATATTTATCAGTCTCAAATCCTATTCAATTGTTCAAAGCTAAACTTCTTAAGTATATACGCATTTTTCGGGTTTGACTATCAATTTGAGGTATTTCGAGTCTGAATTTGGCCAAACGGATTACGGAATCGGAATCAGGGCGTCGAAAAACATAAAGTATGACTTTTCGAAAATTCAAATTCTTGGTCAAAGTCAAAGTCAACCACTTTGACCGTAAATTTGGAGACCTTCGGATTCGAATTTGACAAAACGGACCACGGAAACGGATTCGGCACGTCGAAAACTATCAGGATAGGTATACTCGGAAAAGATTAACGGTCGTTTAATGCTCCGTCAAAGCCATTTTAAGTTTTGGTCAAAGAAAGTCAACGGTCAACGGTCAACGGTCAACGGTCGGGTCGGGTCGGGTCAACGGTCGGGTCGGGTCGGGTCAACGGTCGGGTCGGGTCGGGTCAACGGTCGGGTTGGGTCAGACCGGTCAAACCGGTTCAGACCGGTCAAACCGGTTCGAACCGGTTAAACCGGTTTCCAGCAGCCACTCGCCCTGCGGCGGCGCGTGTGGCGCGTGAGGCGTCCTCCGGGGCCCTAAAAATCCCGGAAAAATTTCTAAAAATTATTTTGAGCGATTTCAAGATACTTACAACGATCGGTTCAAATTTTTGAACGGCGGAGAGCTCGATTTCAAATCGGCCGAATCTTTGACTGCACCAACTCCCCACGCGCCGCCGTCTACGGCGGACAAGGTTGACACCGGTGAACTCGGAACGGCACAAGGAACACGATGGTGCGGGAGGTGTCGTAAACAGAGCAACGATCAGCGGTGAATTTAAGATTTTCTCGGCGATAGAGCTAACAAAACCGTCGCTACTTTGACTGAAAATTCCCGACGTTTGGCCGCGTTTCGCTTCAATTAATTTGAAGGTTTTGCTCCTCGCTCGATGATGAACACAACGGTGGTTTCAAAACAACGATCGGAATTCGGACGGCGTCGGAATCGAGTTTGGAAGTTGTGTGCGTGAGGAAGAATTTCACAATTGTTTTCTGTTTTGAAAACAGAAAACCATTCATATGTTTATATGAAATTTTCTGCCGACACTAAAAGGAGTAATGCAGGGCTTGGTCCCTGAATTTCCTTTAACTTCTAAAATGGCCTACAATTTTGAAAACTTTCGATTTAATCCTCAAAATTTTGCCAAATTACTTAATTAAATTTTTTTTTCTCTAAATTTTATTCCGGGTTGTTACAATTCTCCCCCTCTACAAGAAATTTCGTCCTCGAAATTTACCTTATGAGAATAGTTGAGGAAACTGAGCCTCCATTGACTCCAATGTCTCCCAAGTAGCTTCTGAGGGGCCTCGATTACTCCATTGAACTTTGACCATTGGAATTCGCCTATTCCGAAGAACTCGTTCATCTCTCTCCAAGATCTGAATGGGCTCCTCTTCATATGACAAATCAGGTCTCAGCTCTACTTCTTCAACCTGAATAATGTGACCTGGATCTGGACGGTATCTCCTCAACATTGATACATGAAAGACATCATGAATACGACTTAGCTCAGAAGGCAACTCAAGCTGATATGCAACAGGTCCTACCCTCTTCAAGATACGAAATGGTCCAATAAATCTTGGACTCAATTTACCCTTACGCCCGAATCTTAATACTTTCTTCCAGGGTGAAACTTTCAAAAAGACCCGATCTCCCACTTCAAACTGTATATCCTTCCTTCTTTGATCTGCATAAGATTTCTGCCTATCAAATGCCTCTTTCAGACGGTCACGGATTAATCTGACTGTGTCCTCCGTCTCTCGCACTAACTCAGGTCCCAACGTTTTCCTATCACGCAACTCAGTCCAACAGATCGGAGTGCGACATTTACGCCCATATAGTGCTTCATAGGGTGCCATACGAATACTGGTCTGATAACTGTTATTGTAAGCAAATTCAGCCAACAGCAAAAAGTTCTCCCAACTACCATGAAAATCGATTACGCAACCCCGCAACATATCCTCCAAAATCTGAATTACTCTCTCAGATTGACCATCAGTTTGTGGATGAAAGGATGTACTATAATCCAATCTTGTTCCCAAAGCCGTATGTAACGCCTTCCAAAATCTCGAAGTAAATCTCGGATCTCGATCAGAAATAATAGACAATGGAACACCATGCAATCTGACAATCTCTGAAATATACAATCTTGCCAGCTTATCCAAAGTATAATTTACTCGCACAGAAATGAAGTGAGCTGACTTTGTAAGTCTGTCAACAATCACCCAAACAGAATCTTTTTTCAAAGGAGTCATAGGCAAGCCAGTAACAAAATCCATAGTAATACGCTCCCATTTCCATTCAGGAATCTTGATAGGCTGTAACAAACCTGATGGATGTTGATGTTCTGCCTTAACTTGCTGACAAGTCAAACACCTAGCCACAAAGTCAGATATGTCTTTCTTCATACCAGTCCAATAATACCTCTCTCTCAAATTCCGGTACATCTTATCTCCTCCGGGGTGCATAGCATATGGACTACTATGAGCCTCAATAAGGATAGTCTGCCTCAATTCAGCATCATCAGGCACACAATATCTACCTTTAAAACATAAAACTTCATCATAATCAATTGCGTAATCTAAGTTTGTCCCCTGCTCTACTTGCTCAAAGATGGAAAACAAGGAGCTATCAAGGGGCTGTTTAGCCTTGATCTCATCAACCAAGGTCGGCTTAACTTGCAATTCTGCTAACAAAGTGCCATCGTCATATAAATTCATCTTGGCCATTAAAGACCTCAACTCCGATACCGTCTTTCGACTCAAAGCATCTGCTACAATGTTAGCTTTACCAGGGTGGTAATCAATCACGCAATCATAATCCTTTAGAAGCTCTAACCAGCGACGCTGTCTCAATTAAGTTCCTTCTGGGTCAGAAGATACTTTAAGCTCTTATGATCTGTGAAAATGTAACACTTCTCTCCATAAAGATAGTGTCTCCAAATCTTCAAGGCAAAAATTACTGCTGCCAACTCTAAATCATGAGTAGGATAGTTACTCTCATGCGGCCGCAGCTGACGGGATGCATAAGCCACCACCTTACTTTCCTGCATTAAAACACAACCAAGTCCTGAATGTGAAGCATCACTATACACTGTAAAATCCTTTCCGGACTCCGGTTGAATCAACACAGGTGCTTGAGTCAAAACCGCCTTTAATTTCTCAAAGCTCTCCTGTTGTGCCTCACCCAAGTCAAACAACACATTCTTCCTTAACAACTTTGTCAA